CTCTTTTTTCCCCCCCCCCCCCCTCCCCCGAATACCCCTCCGACGTCCCCCCCGCCTCCTCACGGTACGTTTGCCGTAATCTGGTACAGTAGTCTCTCTCTTACCAAAATCACAAAAAGAAAAGGACGGCGGTTAGAGAAGCAGCGTGTCCGAGTGACAACAACAACAGTCACCTCAACGTTGCGGGCACTTCCAATCAACGATAGATTTAGATTGAACGGGTGTTTCTGCCAGGAGAGACGATTGGTCTGCGCAGACTTGAAACGTACAGCAACGCACTGCACCTGCTTCGAGAATCGAAATGGGACTCCAAACACCATCCGAAAGAAGGGTACTATGGTTCGAGAGGGATGGGTGACCAGTGGCCAAGAAACGAAAATAAGCCAAGGGGAAAATACGTCCACGCACGCGGGCACGCAACCACACCCGTGCGCCCCCGTTTCCAACGCACGTACCCTGGTATCGCCGAAAACGCCTTCCTTGGCGTTGAGCTCCACGCACTCCTTGTGGGGATTGCAGAATACGAGGAAGTCAGCGCGTGCACGGGCATTGCGAGACGAAGGAGAAACAAATAACATCAATCGTGGGGGGGGGGTATGCGTATCTGTTGTTTGCCTTGACCACTCAATGAATCGGTTTGGAGACGAAGGCTGGAAAGGGGGGTTGGAACAGATAGCCAGCAGAGGTGGGGCATGTTTCAAGCCAAGAGAGTGCTTGCAGTCGAAAGGATAGGGGCAGGACGCACGGACCATGTCGAAGATGCTGGCCGGGGGCGACTTTGACGGCATGGCGTAAAGCGTATTCTGTCAGTTGCAAATGCGACAACAGTACGAACAAGGCTCGTGACGAGTCGATGAAAATAGCGTTCCTAGCCTCAACAAAACGAGTCAGGCTTGTTCGGCGTGGCTGGGCGTTTCATGTTTTCGCTCGGAGGTGAAGCTCACAACCTCAGCGGCACTGGTGGCGCAGCAGTCTTCGCCAACGAGAAATCTGATAAACGCGCAGCACAACGAGGTTCGAAGGACGAACTGCGCCATGCCCCAGGGGATGCCAGCCCAAATCGCCCACATCGAACGCGCGCATCGTAAGATATAGACACGCATCCAGAGTTTCCGTCGGACACGATGAGCGACACCCTCCAATTAGCTTGGGGGGCATACATACCTTTGCCCTTGCGCGCAAACACAAAAAAACAATCCGCACACGACTACACCTTGTGGATGACACAAGACTGAACCACAAGAGATGCGGATGTACCCGCGAAACACAAACCTCTCTAGGCTATCCCCCCCCCAGCACCATCGTCGGACAGAAAAACCCAGCGGCCAAAGAGCCGCCGTTCTCGCAGGCGGAGTACAGGGATCGATACTACCACATAAGCGCGGCCGAACCCTTATTGAATGAAAATGCTACGATGGGTACGTAACTGTACCTCGAGAGTTCTAAGCGCATCCGGGTTGCCATCCGTGATCACCACCTCCCCCGCGTCCGAGCAAGCCGCCACCCCCAGGCCGGCCAACCCGGACATGCCCGCCCCGAGCTCCAGCACCCGCATCCCGCCCAGCGAGGAGGCCAGCGGGCTAGTCGGCGCGACAACGGCAGGAAGACCAGGCGGTTTTCGCGCAAGGGGGAACCAAGGGGGGAGTTGGCAACGAGACGGGCATCGGAAGATAGAGTGGGTGGCTCACATCTGCATTGCCAACGCGAGAAATTGTGCAGAGAATAACCAACCCGCACCACACATACGGGTTGTACGGAGATATCATGGGAAGACACAGAGCGCTTCACGTTCGTTCGATGACCCTTCACTTCACTCGGTTCAAAGGGCCAAAAAACCAACGAGGTGTTTTGAACTCGTTTTTCGCGGCATGTTTGCGAAAGACACATTGCAGCCGCTAAGGGTCGTCCGCCGGCGAAAAATAGAAAAAAAGGAAGGCAAAATACGGACCTAGAGAGCAAGACGTGGAGCAGGACGTGCTCCGCCGGCCATACTCTCACGTTGCCCGTGTTGTCGACGCCGTGCACGCGGTGCGCAAACAGCTGGTCCAGGGTAATGGTTACCCCGCCCGCGCCCGCCCTTCTCTTTGACGAAGCGTCCCTCGTCGTGACCTAAAGTGCCACGGACCAGAGCAGACAAAGGTTGGCCACACGCCATGGTTGTGGCGGCAATCGTGCAGGAGGTAATATGCCCGACCGCGGCAAGAGCTTGTGCTGTCGAAAAGGAATCCTGAGTCACTATTTGAATTCCTGATCCAAACGGTCGCGGTATGCATTGAAAGGCATTCCAAAATAGCTGCATCTAGCAAAGTTTGCACGTCTCGTACAGAGGTGATACGTCAATTGTGGTCGCCCGTCCTCAACAGGGAACGCTCGTTGTTGCTACATTGAAACACCATCTTCTTTCCAGCACGCAAAGTATTGTCGTACGCTATTCTACAGGACTGAATTGATTGGAGGTGTGAAACGAGTCAATCGTCCTCGAAACAGGTGAACCTGGGCTTTCTTCCACAAAAGCAGACATCTCATCGCGACGTGAACATGGAACTTCATCTCCGAGCAGGACGCCTTCGTGCCGAGCGGCGCGTACTCCGGACAGCGTAGTCGTGACTCGCGGACAATCGACAAACGCGACTGCAGTCATCACAGGATTCGGCTGGCCATGGAAAACTAACAGTATCCTTTGCGAGCTGCAAGAAAGGAAACAGAAGAAAAGCAACCCCTCAGGCGTCCGCTCGGAGATGAAGCTCTCCAGAGCGATAAGGCATTCATCATGATCGGCAGCGTTGCCAGGGAGCTGTTGGATCTCTTCGTCGACACCAACACGTAAAGAGGGAATCGTCCTCGACAGAGGTTGGGAGATTGTAGCCTTTACGAAGGCGATCTCCACAGAGTGCTGTGCTGCATTGAACCTGGTCGAGCTCTCACTTTGCGGCCGTGCAGTCAGTCGTTCGTGAGAGCAATTGGCTAATACTGCTGTACCAGCCTACCTGGTACAGCAATAGTCTATTCTACAACGCTCGATTCGTGGCGTTATCTAGACATCAAGTAACATAGCATGCACTGGCAAATTGGAACAACTGCCGCCACAACAGTAGACCGTCGATACCTTTTTCCCATGAGGAAGGTGATATGTAGCCCAAACGTTGCCTGGTTGGATGGTCGTCGTTGCAGTTGGTGTAGCTGCCGCTACTGCTGACGTTGGGTCAATCTCTTGCCTGGCCAGGAACCCGCGAATACGTTGTGATGCACGGGGATCAAGTTGAGGTGCGAACGCGAAAGATAGATATAGACCTATTCAAGGAAGGTAGGAGCCTCCAATGATCCTCGGGCAGAACTGGGAACAAACTCATGTCCTCTGTGCACAACACACCTGGGGAAAAGAACGAAGCCCTCGAACCTCGAGGACGTGGTGCTGTCCCTCGCCCCGTTGCCGCCAACCTCCGTGGCATGCTCTCCCTTGGACGCTGCCACCGCAGAAAGAAACGCGTCTCGAAGGGTCGACCACTTGCCACCTCCATTACCTCGAACAAAATCACCGGTATCGCACATGATGCTTACTCTGTGCTGTGACGCCCGGCGTTGTCGCCCCCTGTGCCTTTGTGCCCTGTGTCTAACACGCGGAGGGCGGCGGGCGGCGGGTTTGTTGTGTCGGGTGTCGGGCAACGTTAGAACTGGTTCTCCAAGGGGTGGTTCGGCAGGTGGTTCTGTGTGATCCCCGATGTGTGTGACCTGCGCCGGTCGGGCCATCATCATCCATCAGTATTACAGCTCTTGTTGTATTGCATTAGAATAGACAAGGTTGGCTTAACAGCATAGACAAGGTTGACTGAACAACATGTTCTTGCTTCAGGCCGCTGGGACTGCCTTCAGCCAGATGCCGTGGTGAACTGTGAAGTTCAGCTTCTAGCAGCTGTGACAGCTTGTGACAGCGTTATTTTTTTATTGATTTATTTTCAGGTGCGTGGCGAAGGCGTCTGAATCCCCATACAATACGTTTCGGAATCAAAAACACATGTAAACCGATTCCGTGAAGATACACGGATCAAGCATTCTCTCCGTTTCCGTGAAAGGAGCACGGGGCAAAAAAAAAAACTTGCTTGCTTTCAGCGTTCGGGATACTTGGGAGTGAGGGATTAGGGAGGCCCAACGCGTGTGTGGTGTGCTGTATGAGAAGCTTAGTCTAGTTTACACCCTCTGATTCCTTGGATTTGGCTCACTCCTTGCTCTTGCAAAAATCGCGCGTGCACTGCTGTCGGTATGCTTCCAGGCCTTGATCTTCGTGGTTGCTTTGGATGCAGGCTCATCACCACTCTGGACTTGGTTCTGGAAGCCTCACTGCACCGCCGCCAGCTACACTACTACTGGACTGCTGTTGATGTGGGTCGCTATTTGTCGACTTGTGCATATATATCGAGTAAATGCCGCAACCTTGCCGCAAACCCGTTAAGAAAAATATGCTGTCCATGTTGATTTGAAGATCTGCAGTGAAAGCTTCGTTTGTTCCAAACAGTTGGGTGGGGGCGATGCTCATCACATGCATGCGCTGCCGTATTTTACCACGATGGAGGCGTTTCTTCTCCCCCTGGCCCTGTACCACCAGATCGAAAGTCCAATTTTGAACAGGTCCAACGCGGGACCCCATGTGCCTGGTAGCGCAGTTTTCGCCCTTGCTTTGAGAGACAAGGCCACCTTTGCTAGGCAGCGGGACGATGTAGGAACCTGTGCCCTATTTCCTCCCTAAACTGTGCTGAACTGTGCTGGGGTCTGACGGCAGGCTGTGACTTGTAGACGATCCCCTGACGGTAACTACTGCGTGTCGATGTTGTCAACATTAACGTACGGTAATATCCCTCCGCATTCCTCTCCTTTTTTGCGGAGCTGAATTCGGTGGTACTACGAACAACATGACAAACCGCGAAGAACCGCGAAGAGTCCGCACAACATTTTTCGAAGTCGTTGAATCAGGCATCCGGGATTGATCGTGCGAGGTCTTCGAGGGAGTTTTCTACTAAAGGTTTGAACATTCGAAGAGAATGACGCCGGATGACGTACGACTCCTCACGGCGGTTGAGAAAGGAGACACAAGACGGGCGGAGAAATCATCACAGCCGGTCAGGCTAGCGTGGACGGTGACGGTCGCATCCACTACCGGCTCCTTCTCGCGGCCGAGCTCGGATTCGCCCGCGTTCTTTCACAAGACCGCCGTGCTGAGATTGTTGCTCCGGGCGGGTGCCAACCCGAACGCTGTAGACTCGAACCAGGCCACCGCCCTTCTCGTGCAGGTCGTATGACCACGGTCTCCGCGCGGCTGCGGTACAAGAGCTGTTGCGGGGGCAAATCCTGCTATTGAAAACGACGTCGGAAACATTCCTTTGCACTACGCTGCTATGGAAGGAGATACCGAATCGATCACCTTGCTGCTCGAAGCGGCGCCATCGACCATGAATCGTGCCACGAAAGGGGGCATGACGCCCCTGTGCGTCGCTTGCGAGTTCGGGCAGGCGCAGGTTGTCTCCCGTCTGCTGTCTGCCGAGGCAACGAGCAAATGGATGCCGTGCCCCCTCGCGACCGCCACCGCCAACGGGCATGAATCCGTGGTCCGAGTGCTGCTTGGCACCAAGGAGCGGATAAAAGCGTTCGGAGGCGTGGACAAGCTTCCCTCGGCTTTGTGCCACGCTGTCCAGAAACATAATTCATGCGCAATCCTGCTCGTTTTGCTCTCATCCTTCCACCGGACACATTTCGGCATGCCAGTCAGCGTATAATACCAACCCTGACGACAGAATCCAGTGGGCCATCACTCGAGCACTCATGCGTGGCTATGCCTTCCGCGCTCGCTCGTGGATGATTCCGGCTTTATCTACGGCGGCTTTGACTGTAAGTGTTCACCTTGCTGGTGTGGACCCGTCGCACGTACCGCAACCAGCTGCCTCGCTCGGGGCACGTATTTTCCGCCCGAACAAGAGGTTTGTTCTGCCTATTCATAGATAGGTAAGAACCGAGAGTGTGTGATATGCTGGAACGTCTTCATTTGTGTGTGCGTAGAATGTCTTTGGTCAAGTGACGCTCATTCGAAAGCGGATTCCAAAGCGGATGGCGCGTGTGGGCGCGATGTGTGACGGATGCTGTTGTTTACCGTTGTCGGTGTTGCCGCCCGTACTTGGTACCCCTCCCGACTTGTTTGCATGTGGTGGTGTCTGTCTTGAAGCACCTGTGCCGCTTGTGGCCTTGGTATTCAAGTTGATCCAAGTTTTCTGTGTGTGGTGCCAAGGTCGTGGATGAATCAAGAGGCCACGCCTCGCTGTATTGAATCGGGAAATTGTGTTGCTTCACGGCAATTGTCGTATAGGCGGATGGCCGATAGTGCACACTGGCAGCCAAACAGCGGAACCGCAGCTCAAGGCAGGACTACGTAAACCAATATCCGACATGCAACTTTGCTGATTAATTCTGTACCTTCTTCCTTACTGCACAACCTCCTTATGCCAGGTACGTCCTGAAGTCCTGAAGGGGTCAAGGAGGGTATGAGTTGTCTTGTGGAGAAACGAACAAGGAGTATACGCCTTCCCTACGCATTGGAGCGGATCACAACTGGCGGACATAAGCCGCTGCAATGAGAAATGTTTACTCTAGAGAAATGTGATGTGAGGACCTCCTCAATGTCAAAAAATGAGCTCTTTGCCACCCATTTGGTCTCATCAATAAAATCGTCTTCTCTGTTTGTTGTCGTACCAGGCGCATCATTCAATGGGGTATCGGATGCAGAGTTGCTTTCAGTTAAATTTGATGCAACTGCTGGCGCAGGTACCATGAACACAACACAGTAAACGATGCCTTACGCATCATTCGCGATTTCGTAGTCCAAACCTATTCGGTTTCAGTATCCGTGATATGGAGCACTAAACTGCGTGCAATTAAGAAGTTGAAGACGCAACCTCAACTAATTTCGGAATGGTTCGTATAGCAGTTCGTAGAGGTCCTAAGAGAGAGTGCACTTACCCAAAGAACTGCTCTCCGGAATGTTTTCAAGAAAACTCAATAATTTAGAAATCGTTCTCGGAAGAGGGGTTTTGGTCTCACAGCACGGTGTTTGATTCCCAGAATTGTTCCGGACTACTGCAGTACTACGGTTCTTCAGGTTTTCGTCAGTGTCCGACTAAAACGCTGAACAGGCAGAGCATACGCCCCCGGCCAGAGATCACTCCGTTTCCTGCGCTGCTCAACATTACAACACACAGTTGGACAACCTATGTTGCCTGTTTCTCTTGGAACCATTGGTTCAAGACCCATCTGTACGATGTCCTTCTGCGCTCCTGTCGTACAGGTGCGGCACACCACGCCTTTGTAACGTGGCTTGGCTCACAGCTGTACCTCTGTCGTACACCGCAAAATTTGAACATGTTTTTTTGAGGACCCCTTTCAGCAGGTCTGACTCTTCGCTGAGAATGCAACGTACCAAGAAAGTTGCACAAGCAGAACCACCAGGGAACTGGTCTCGACTACACAGTCGCAGCAGACCCGAACCCACCGTTTTTTTTCAGAGTTTGCACATCACATCGTATCATCTTCGAAGCTGCAGCTGCTGTTTCTGGTGGACGGGTGTCCTGCATAACGTGGCGCGTCCTCTATAAGGCGCGCGCACAAGATTTTGCTCCTCTAGCGTTGGAGGGAGGTGTACCCTCGGGAACCGTCCTCTCTGAAATTTGTGACGCGGTTCCTGGGAGGGGTGCATTCCTGTGACGCCGATGGATTTCTGCATGTACGAGAAAGAGGGTTGCACGTGTTCAAGCCGTGGACCCATGTGCCTGCCACATTTTTCGAACTCTCCTGTGAACTTGAACCTATTCCGTAGGAAGCTTGACGTATGCATACACTGGTTTTCCCGGTTTGCCGCAGCAGTCTTCGCGAACTACGAAATTCGAGGAATTGGATTTGGGGACTTGAGATAAGGAAGCACCAATCCACCGCGGCATCTTCGACAGTTTCGGTGGCGGCTAGCGGCCGCACGAGGAGCTTCGCTAGAAGCAGAAGTGTACGAATGATACGTTTTGGTGGCGAGCTTCACGCATGCAAAGCTGAGTCGTATGCACACGACGCTGAGAAACGCTTGCCCTCCTTATTGGTCCGAACGTACCCCCAACGGTTCCACATCAGCAGACAAAATCGCGTGACTCATGTCGAGTGCTAACGAGCCATGACGACACTAAAGCCTGAAACGCCCCCATCAGACAATAAAACAGCACGACCTCCAGTGCATTTGGATTATGTGCCAATTCAAGGCGGCCGGCGGAACAAGAGAGGAAGAACAAAAAATGGAGCGGAAAAGGAACGCTCGTGCTACTCACTTGACAGAAAGATGTGCATCAGGCAGCCAGCTGCTGGCGACAAAGCACGATTCGAAAATAGAACCAGGTTCTACTACACACCGGCCTGGGAGGGGGGCGAGGTGGCAGTGGCGCCCTGCAGACAGGGCCATGCCGGCCTCAACATCTTCGAGCCAAACACAGCAATAACAAGCACAATCGATACCAGATGATGCTCTTCCATTACCGTGAAGGTGCGGATCCGCAATACTCCACCAGCGCACCAGCGGCAACAGGAGCACACGAAAAACATTTTTTGTACCTTAGTTCCGCCAACGTCTCCGAAACTCTACCCCCCTCACCTGCCTCCCTCTAGCTCAGACCCGCACGTCTCTCAAGCCCACGAACACTCGTTCAAGGATACTCGCCGCACTCTCTCTGCCAATCCCCAACCGCCCCAAATCATCATTCGCAGACGTGCCTCCACATGAACACAAACGCAGAGGCCTCCCTGCAGCACCACGTGATGCCCTGTGGTCGCAGTGCTGCTCTTTGTGCGTTTCCACATGCTAGACACTATATTTCCTTTTCATGGTGCTGCGCACACCGAGCACGAACCGGGATGCTTCCGGCCAGGTTAGTGCGACGACTTCCAGGCGACAAGCTTCTCAACCACGTCGCTCGGAAGCTTGTGGCTACCGAGGATAGCCATCAGTTCATCTTTGGCGACGCTGTGGTACGTAAAAAATAATTGCAGCAGCAGCGGCGGCGGCAGGAGCAGCAGGAATAGTGTGCGACGGCAGCAATCAGAAAAGGCAGTTGCAGACAGTTGGCCAGACGACAACCACAAGAGCTACACTGCAAGACAAAAGAAAAGCAGGCACGTACACGACACAGCTGAAAAGGCACGCAGCAGAACTAATGCGAACACGACGGGGAGAAGAGAGGCAAGAGTGGAAATCCGCCAGCACTGGTAGTAGATTGAAAGGCCTCGTCTACATCGACCCAGGCAACGCCGATACTGCCAGTACCACACGAACGAGCACCAAAAGTGCAACAAGTGCGAGGCCGCCGAGCCGCGCAACCGAAAGTCGTGCAGACTGGCCGACTGGTCGAGCCTCCTCGGATCCCGGAGAACACGTTAGGTGAAGCTTTTCCTTCGGGCTGCGGTGATGGGAGTGTTGTACAGTAGTGTTTTACGACAGGAAAGTGCGCCTGCCCCAGAATAGGCCTCGGCCAGGAGGGAAACCATGAACATCAAATTGCAGTTGCGACTAGGTGCGACAAGAGCCAGAGCCACGGGGCACGATACGGCATCAGTACAGGCCGAAGTCCACTTACTCCTTGCCAGCCTCGTGATGAGCCCTTTCCTTCTTGAGCAAGTTCTCGAGCAATCTTTGATCCTCTTTGCGCATGTACACTGTCTCTTCCCCGCGCTCCCTGAAGAGTGGGAGAGAAATCAGGGGAAGGGGGGGTGGTAAGGTTTGGTTAGCTGCGGGTGCCGTGATGTAGAGTTTCGGGTACACATCCGCAGACACAAATATCGTCGCGGTAGTCAATAGTCTCCGGAGAGTTGGAACGCCATGTGAAGCTTGGCTCCCGCCGCTTGTCAATACTGTGTAGGGCAGAGGAAAGGGGAGAGCTCTCGCGATGCATCCCCATCTGGGAAAGTTCGAGATCGCGGGATGCTACCCTAAAAACAACACATGTATCGGACATCGTGCTTCCGATATCATTGCCAAATTAAATTAGGCACAAATCCAACCAATATTATAGTGGTCTCTCTCTTGTACCATGCTAAAAGGTTGTCACTGTTGAAGGTCTTGAAATAAAAAAACAACGACAAGTGCTAAACTCCCGCGCCGCGGGAGCACAAACCTAACCCACCGGCAGGCCGCAGCCGCTAAGGGTGCCCTGGAGGCAATATCCCAAACTCATATAGTGCTTCGCAAAGGCATTGCTGTCAAAGAGGGCTACTTTTACGGCATGCATAGTGCTTTCGCTCAAATATGCTTTCCATAATTGGGACATGGCAATTTCATCATCCCCTCGAGGGCACAACGAAAGGAGAATCGCGAGGAGGAGAGCGTTCGCACCGTCATTCACCGTCATAGCCGTAGTACGCCAACCAGCGATCGCGATGAGCTTCCCCGGTGAAATTAATGCCACGGAAATACATTGTGCTCATTGCTGTCAATGTACCCCGTCGCCCTGGTGTTTTGTGCTACGGCCTGCTTGCTTCATTTGACTTCGCTGGTACTGCAGGAGGAGCAATTCGAGGGCAAGCCCCACGCCAGGCTGAAGGGGGTAGCAGAGTGTGGAATCCTCGTGTGATCGAAATCGGGGCGATTTTCACGACAAAGCCAAAACATGAAACAAGTCACCACGTCAGTTGTGTTATGCATACCTCTCCTTGAAGGTGGTCATGCTCCTGCGTCCCGTGACGGCAAGAGCCGCACCGCCGTAGCTGGGCTTCCCAAGCGCGCTACGGGCAACCGTCGCCGCTCCCGCACCAACCCGTACCATCGCGCCGTTCAGGGACATTTTTGTTGCCTATCGTCGCTGCTCTCGTGACCTCTCCTCGCGCTGGGTTCTCGTGCCGATGCTGTCTGCGTGTCGCACAGGATTGTTGATGCGCGTTGAAGAAAGAGAGGGGAGTGGGGGCACGATAAGTATAAAAACATGGTGGGAACGAATTGCGAACACCGAATTTGGAGGCATCCCATGCCTTGGGAAACAGTGCTTCTCTTGAAGGACAGGTGGACTTGACGCCATCTTTTGGAAGGGATACAACAGTATTTGCAACTTTGGGTAGTCTTTCTGCTATGTTGCATGCTATGCCAATTAATGTTTTCAATTTTCAACAGAATATCACGATGCGGCCGCAAGGATGCGACGAGTGCTTTTCAGGACAGATCTCCGACTTCTTTTATCCGAACGACTGAACTTCAACCTTTCACACCCAAACAAGAAAGCGAGGGATTTGACCACACGGCCAACACACACACACATACAGCGGGAGAGTATGCGGGGTGGACCAAATGCCAGGGCGACTGACTACACAAACCGCCAAGTAGCTGCCGCCAACCCATGAATCACACTTTTTCGGTGGCGAGCACGTTTCCTTCTCATACCCACGCAACTCGAAGTCTGCTCTTCGATGTTCCTCCATGTCAAACTTCTCTCCGCAACTCCGCAAGATCGTCGCCCGGGTGGTCTAGTTGGTATCCTCGAAACCTTCTAGGGGTCAGGTCAGTGGTTCGGATCCAGGCGAAAGCGAGCTTTCCTTGCAAAGCGAGTTTTTCTCTCGCTTCCGCTCCTGGCGTAGTGGATAGCGCTAGTTCGTGTGTACACAGAGGGAAGAGAGTGCTGAACTCTTCTCGCACTAAAAATGGAAGGCAAAGTACCGCAGGAGGGGGGGGTAGAGAGGGGCTCTTCTGTGTGACCACGGGTTGGAGTAAACGGCACTAGTGCTGTGAGCGCTGCTTTGAAGTGAAGACAAAAAAAAAAAAATGCCACAAAAGCAAGCAGACGGTCGGCACATTCTCGAATGTGGTGACAGAGAGAACATACCTGTACGGGTACAGATCGTCTTCGGCTCTAATTTATCTATACATCTCATAGGCGCCGCAGCTCGCTCTTGGCCGGTATGTGCTCTACGCAGCGGTAACATCTTACACCGGACGATGTACCACGACCTACGTTACTGCTGTGGTGTCTCCTCCCTCTCCTGTGGGGCATGAGAGAGAACACACAGCTTGCCCCTGACGAGGACACGTGACGTTGGACACAAGAGCAGCAGCTCTTACCAACAGGATGAATGCATGCACACACACACACACCCTTGGCAACACACGGGTGTGTCAATCTCTCTTGAAACGCATGGAGATGTCGGGATGAAGGCGTGACAGACGGCGCCGTCGGGCACATGTACTGCTGTAGGCACCATGCTGCCTCGAAAACTTCTTCAGACGGCACTACTGCTGTACATATGCATATTCTCGTGGTAAGCACCCGCCGTAGATATCGCGCATGTCTTTCCTTAGCCTAGCTTCTCCCCGTACCAACTCCCACCTGGGCATTCGATGCTGAGAGCTACGCAGCTGCTCACCTTGTGCGCGAAGAAGTAAGCTAAAAATACGAAGATCGGTTTGTAACTGAGTGGGGGAGGAAGCGGGGTGCAGACGGAAAAAGAAGAGAGCGCGGGTGGCCGAAGAAAAGAGCCGGTATCGTTTCAGATGAGAACCTACACGCGCTGGCCTAATAGCTCGACAATGGGTTCTAGAAACGTTCTGTGTTGTCTGGTATGTACACACAGACAGCGCAGCAGCTATGCAAGGGCACGGATCTACAAGCACTGCGTTTAGAGGTAGAATTAATACTGCTGTACATGGACATGACAAACATACACTCGCTGAGACATAAGTCTCCCCCAGTGATGCAATTGGTAACCTCGACACGTCGACAGCTAAACATCTAATTCTTGCTGTAAATTACAATATTTCAATCTTGACGAGCTTGACAACGGAGAGGTTTACAGCAGTGTATTATGTTGTAGATCTATAAGTAGTAGACGCCCATACAGTACTGCATACATGTAAGAGCAGGCTACCGCAGTAGGTGAGTTTCCGCCCAGGATGGCTTGCTTAACACGCTCCTTGCTTCTATCAGCAGAGGTGGTTGTGTGTTTGGAGGGAAGAGAAACCCGGCTGAAACCTGTGCGTGCACACCAGAAATAGATCAGCCGAACCTGGTCAACAAGCAACTTCTACAAGTCTTTAATGACCGGTTCATACATGGTTCATACTTTGTTTGCGCAGGGAACCGACTTATTATTCGTGAGTTGATTTCACCTACCTCTCCTTGGTAATGTAGTGTAATTATCATGTTCGCGATCCACGTGGAAAATCGACCACGGAGTAGCCACGGGGATACCACAGGCAACGTACGTACGTGCGGGAGATGGCAAGGGGGAACTTGCCGAGACCTGCAGCGGATCCAGGCGCCATACTTGTATTTTTGGCGAACGAGATCGAATACAACAAGCAAGCAAGCTCATTCAAGGTGGCCTCCTGAGTATCTTTCTCCAACCAACACCGAGCGCGAAATCCATCAAACTTCTACACACTCCCATAATGTTGTCACCACGATGAACCCAACAACTGGGCAACATCGTTGTTGGCGTCTGTAGAGGACCCCTGGTGGGGATGCTAGTTTAGCACAGAAATCATGTCTGTCTCGGTCGATCAGGGGGGCGGGCTCTCAAGAGCGTGAAAGAGCAAAAGAAAAGGTGCACCTTAACTTGAAGTGCAGCCAGGGTCCTTCAACTCGTTAGAACTGTTGGACCTCGACAATAACTAACGAGCCCAGGGTTGTAATCCCTGTACTTGGTGCTGCCCCATGCGGTTCGTCGGCTTACAGGCGGGAATAGTACCTTCAGTTGGACGACTGGAATGTATACCAAGACGTTCAGGCGTGCGTGTGCTTGTACCTTCCAGACGTTTTTCTCTCTCGGAAAAAAGGTGTCACAAACAGCTCCTCTAACGAGTTGAAAAGGACCCGTTGTACTTTTTTTGTTAATGCGCACAGCGTATCCACTGGAGTTTCAAAAGTAAGCGCTGACTTGTAGTCTATATATTATGCACCTCAACAGTTCGATGATATCCACCAACAACGCTGACGAAAAGGCATACACATTGTATGCAGTTATACGCATGTTGTGAAAAAAAAAACAGCAAAAAAAACTCACTTTCGTTGGGATTGAACCCGTGACCTAGCTCTTGGAGGGTTGTACGTTACATTTGCATGTGCCGAAATCAAGTACGCCAACATGGAGCAATATTGTCAGCAACCACACCTCCGGAACAGCACTTCCTTGGCGTCTTTTGGTAGCACAGTCAAATACTTTGGTCATCACCAAGCAGCAGTAATATGTGAGCTTGAAAGTACAGACTTCCATGACCTGTTCCATCCGGTTCAGGCCAAGGGGTCGGCGGCGCAAGATCACGACTATTGACTGTGCGGTCAGTTGGTAAAATAGTATCCTGTCGTGGGACCTCCCGAGGGTAGTGGTGGTCACTCCCAGAGAAAGCTGGGCAGACAGGGTGGCCGGCACTAGTCGGAAGAGGGCGTTCGCTCGCGGATATCTTTTTAGCATTTTCCCTCTCACTCTCTGCCTTTCTGTTTTTGCCGCGCCCTTCTCGCATCCAAGTAATATGCCTACTATGCATGTGGACAGATTGCCGTGTGCCACCACGCGGGTTCGGGTTTCAGGGTGTTCAACGCGTCGAGTAGTGAAATGGGTTGCTTGAAGCATATATGTATGTGAGTTTTCGCTGAGGATGGCTTGCTTCTCTGCCTAGAAAAATTCCACCACCAGCGTTAAACACACTCCTGGCTTCTATCACCAGAGTAGAGAGAGGAGGTGGTTGTGCGTCTGGAGGGAAGAGAAACCAGGCTGAAACCTGTGCGTGCACAGCAGAAAGCTCAACCAATCGGTCAATAAGCAAGATAAACAACAACAACAACAACAACAACAACAACAACAACAACAGTACAAAGCAAGATAAACAACAGAGTCAACAAACAGAGGTATCTAACTAGATTTACAGGTACTTCTCGAATGCTCTTTCGCCCTCTTGAGAGCCCGCCCCCCTGATCGACCGAGACATGATTTCTGTCCTAGTGCCCCCACCAGCGGTCTTGTAGAGACGCGAACGATATTGCCCTACTGTTGGGTCCATCTGGGGATAAAAAATTTGTGGGGTGTTGTAGAACTTGATTGGATATATTTCGGCTCGGTGTTGGCTGGAGAAAGACGTTCAGAGTCCACCTTGAATGGCGCCTGAATCCGCGGCAGATACTCTGCAAAACTTGCCATCTCTCGCACGTATGGCCTGTGGTATCCTCGTGGCTACGCTGTGGTCGATTTTCCACGTGGATCGCGAACTTGAATATTGAAATAATACCCAAGGATCCGTGCCTTCGCTAAGCTATGGCCAAACCTTACCCACCACGCGGGTGAGGGTTTCAGGGTGTTCAACCGGCCGGCAGGTAGCATCGGTTGCTTGGAGTGCATGTACGTGCTCGTGAATGGATTGGCGACTACATGAACATCAGGACCCAGAAAGCGGAGAGCATTCAAGCCAGACAATGGTCACCAACGACCGATACGAGGTGGTGGAAACAAGAAGCGAATGTTCCGTCAGACAGTCCATTGCGAACACAGCTGTCGTCAAAAACGATCGGTGAGTACAAGGGGAGGTTCTCCTCCTCCAGAGCGAAAGTTTGCGCTTGCTCTTTGCTTCAGGACGGCAATGCTTGAGGGAAAACTTGCGCCCCCAATGAAATATCTTTCACACGCTAAATATCTGCCAGCCATGCAGCATTCGTTACAGCTAGCTGCGTCTGTGGCCTTTTCAAAGCACATTTTGCCGAGTGTATGGCTACAGTATCACATGGGGTGCCTGCGTGATGATATTCGCTGAAACAATCATACTATTTCTCAACCAAGCACCCCATTGAGCACCATATTCCAACTTTTTATAAATATGTAAAATACTCCCCATACATAACAATACGAAGTTTACGAAAACCAATACTCCGAACGATTGTTGCCGACAAAACAGACGATCTCTGTACCAGCAATTCCTCCTTCCTCTTGAAACTGCAGCTAGATGCAATCCGAGCTCTTCAAGACATTGGATACCAGTGATTCGAAAACCTGGGGGTTACACATGGAGCCGGGGAGGGTGTCGATGGCAAGAAGAGAAGTGATGCACGAAGGGTAGTAATTTGGCACCGAGTGGCTCTGCAAAACAGAAGCGCAGGAAAACCCGACAAAAATCAAATTCGAATGCCCTTCAACGACCTCTGTCCCTCTGGTGGCGAAAGTGCATCCCCCACCCAACCCCAACCCCCAAAGAGTTGGCACCCAGAGTTGAACTTGCCCCGTTTACATGACAGAACCTGTGACATAATCGTGATGTTTGATGCTTCCAAGGCAACTTGAGTTTGAAACACGAGTACACGCTTCGTACAGCTCCCGGAAAGCATTGCAGTGAAAGGCCTTGCGAGCGTCACCCCCACTGGAAAACAAAGTGAGCATCCCAACTCTTCGAAACATCAACTGAAGACTCACGTAGATTGATGCCGTCCTCCGAACCCGATTTTTTATTCCTCTTTGGGAGAAATAACGTCGTCGGTACCGATGGCCATCGCATCTCGGTCTTCTTCCTCGCCCACCACGGCAGGAACCTGCCAACGGGGAATTATATCTTCTGCTCCAGTGTCTCATGTGCAAAGGCGGAATACGACGTGAATTTACGTACGACGCAACACAATCGAACGCCATCCTTACGTCAACAATACCATTAATTGTGAAGAAAATTGGTATCGGTCACCCATGCGAAGAAACATGCAGGCCCGCGCACCATTCCCTCCTCCTGTGATGCTTTCGTTAAGTAGCGCTGAACGAAACAGAAACGAGGCATGGACAATGCTACGCTCTACACATGCCTTGAGCGCTATGTACAATGCGTCAACGTTGGTGGAATACCAAGCCCGGACCAGCAACCAGTCACGTTAAACCAGACACGTTCACCGCATCCCATTGCACGGAACATGCTTTGGCCTTTGAACCGCAAACAGAGAGCGTGCGACAACCAATCCTCCAAAACACACGCCAAGAGGTCCTTTCTAAGTCGTGAGGACGGGTGAAAATTCTGGTACGGGATCGGCTATATATGTCGAGCGTGGGGTGCTTGCTCACACACGACGGAACACATGGATCGGAAAGTGTTACTCAGTCGGGCTGTGGGCTGTGGTGGCGCTACTGCGAGTTTAACTCTACCTTGACCTGACGATGGCACGTATGGGAACTCTCAACGTACAACTAGACTCCATGTCTCCGGGTTCGGAGAGAGACCTTGTGTCATGTGGTGTTCGTGTTCAGAGCAAGATAATTGCTTCGTTCCTCCCCGCTGGTCCGAAAGTTTGAAAGTCGCACCATTCTGGACCATTCCACTTCGAGCTTCGACTTTGGCTCACATTGATCATCATGAGTGCACCGCCAAGGGGGGGAGCCAGCGGTGGCTCCTCGACGCCGTGCGGGTGCCTTTGTTCGATTACCACGTTGATCTTCGTCGTGAAGATATGCTTGTAGAGGGTGAAGTGGCGGTAGTAGCTGTTGTTGTAGAAGGCAAGGTAGAGCAGACGATGCACCGGACGTGGGGGCGTACTAAGTTGTTGTTGGCCACATGATCATAGTCGTTGAACGCGAGCAAAACGACCACATCCTAGCAGGAAGGATCCCAAGGTGGTGTTCGTAAGGCGCGGCACCAAGTTTTATGTAATAGGAAGCTCAAACATCCGATGCTGGCGGCGCCATGAACAATGTCGCTCGATTCTACAAGCAACACGACATGAATGTGCGAGACCAAGACATCCAGGTCAGTCAAATAACGTCCAGGCGTTCGTCAGAACCGAGAAACGATCGAAAGAAGATGTCCCGACAAAGCCTTCGCCTGAACTGCAATATATAAGTTGATATTTTGTCGCAAGTTACCCCTGATGGGTCATCTAGGATTCAGCTGTCAGTCTCTCGGAGGACCTTCGGCATACTGTACGCAATTTTTCCAGCCCGGATGCCAACTTCCTTCGCTATCCACCCTCCAGAACTGTGAGGCTCATTCTGTTGGGTGGAACCAACGATATCTCCGCATGTCTCTGAATGCCCAAACCTGTACTTCGCTTATGTTGTGGATTGCCTGGCATCTCGGCGCTTCTCGTTTTGTCCCCCAGTTAGGCCTACTAGGACTGTCCTGGCATCCCTCGCGTGATTCCTTCATGCTACTGGATGTATCGGCAGCTCCTTGATAAGTTCTTATGTGCATATTACCTACTACTCTAGCAGCCTGCCTCTATTGTATTGTTTTCGGCAAATCGTGCGCGCATGTTTGGTCCGACTATGTCGCTAGTCGAACCTCAACCCGCACACCACGAACTCGATATCAAAACGGTTGGCTGTTTTTCGTGGACTGTCTTGGCTGTGTCGCCGACGCCTTCAACCCTGCTCTACGCTTCGCCACGCCATACGTTTCCCATGCATGCCATGTTCTCTCTCTCGCTTGCTCGCTCCTCCTTTCCTCTCCCGGCAATTTTCTGGCATCTTGGCAATTACACGAGTCCATTCGGACTGTCTTTGTCAAGGAGGCTAAGGCCATCAAATCGTTGGCAAACCCTGGGCAGCGCTTGGGGTAGCCGCATCTATTGTTGTAGGTATCAACTTCGGACTCTTGCCTGGTGGCCACGTAGTCCGTGATGGCTCCGATGTCTTTCGGGCTCAGCACTCCAGTCGTCCATGGCGGGCGGTCGACCGCGTGTCGAAGGATAAGCTCCTCGAACCGATTGAAGGACTTCCTCAGCGACGAGGTTGAGTCGTTCGTGCGCATATCCTTGTGTGACACAACCAACCCGTTGCGCGCAGTCAGCCGAGCAGTAATTCCATGGTGGAAGGGACACAGGGAAGTGGGAGGGTGGTCAACTTCTACGACCGACAGGTACGTTTGAACTCTGGCAGGACTCTCGAATTGACATGTTATTCAACAGCGAGACCACCCCTCTTGTGCCGCAATCACTCTGTTTTCGATACCGTTACGGAGCAACCACGAGTGTACCGAGATTGTTACACCATTGCCAAATAACGTCATCATGAATGAGGATTTCAAGGATCGAACGCGCATGTCGTGGGTCCTATTGTCGAGTCTCTCGCGCACCGGACAGCGCAACGGATAAGTGCCCATTTCTTCATTCTAACACTGCCGGCTCGGAAGTGTCCGAACTTCGCTTCCACGCGCACTTCGTGCGGTGGTTACTATCCACCGCACGCCTATTGTTGTCAGTCGGTGTCGCTATCGCTTTCTGAGAAATCTCCTCTGTTTCTCATGAGAGCTCGCCGCTGCTACTCGAACCTACTTTTTCACAACGTGTTACAAGCACCTCGTCCAAGATGTCCTTCATGATCGACAAGAACGTCGATGTGGCGCGAGCGTCGAACCGTCGCTCTTTGCAAAACGCGTAATTGTAGTAGTGGAAGTCAAGCACCACCCTCTCCTTTTCCGTCAAGCTATTTGTTCGAGCGCTTGCGTCGTCAATTCGTGCCCCGCGTCCCTCAGTCCCACCATGTTCGAGGCAGTTCGCCCCGCCAAGCCCAAGGTACAGCGCAAGAAGCCTGGGCCGTGGCAAAGTTTTTCATGGAAATATCCATGAGGTGTAGACCAACTACCGCCCCGGAATGGATGCGGGTAGATCATTGCCTACTGGCGGCGTTTCGGTAGACTACAATACACATCTCAATGGATCCCGGCATATCAAACGTTTTTGAGTCCGTGGTCAAACGAGAGGATATTGAAAGATTTCCCTCCACGGCAAAAACGAGTATCGAAAAACATTCGAATGACCGCCCACGGAAGGAACCAGCAATTCCGAAAAGATTACCAACAATGCGGAAAATAGTGTCGTCTGTGCCGTTCACTGCTTGCACAGCCTGTTGCAGAGAATTTCGCGCTTCAACCAGTCTTCTGCCGTTCATCCTGCCGCTCTCGTCAATAGAAGCTCGTTGATCCGCAATCATGTCTTTCCCGCTGCCGATATGCATATTTGTTTTCCATTCTGCGTGGGTGGGCTGGAAATCCTTACTACAGCAGTTTATCGCCTTGCGCAGATTCCAAGCCAACCCCTTGCAATGCACTCGCTCACGTTTTGCATTGCTCGTGTTCCAGCGCAGCCTCAAGGCAGCTTATCTGCTCCGGGCTGAAGTGCTTCCATGCGACTGACGTGGCCTTCGTGAAAGCAACCGGTAAGCATGACGCAACGAGTTTCGTATTCCAGAATGATGACGTCGGCAGCGAGTATGACATTGGTCACTCATCTACAATGTACAGTGTTAGGAGTTTAGATTGCGCCGCGTTTTGTTGTTGGCCGGGTACACGAAAAAAAAAATTAGCAACGCCTGGCAATTTTCCATGAAATTGCTAGAGATTACAACGGAGGACACCCTTGCGCGGAAAGAGACCGGGCACCTCGCCAAAGAGCAGAGTCGGAAGAGACGTGACAGCTGCTACTTATTGGTGATACCAAAGATGCCATCCACTTGGGGGTCGCGACTCGACCCTCCCCAGTAGAGATTGGTGTCGCCAAATATGATGTGGAAAGCGAAGCGCATGAGATTCTACGTAGAACGCAGAAGCTCAAATATCCCGCCGCCACGCGACACCGCAACAGACCCACACTCTCTGTGTCAGATGAAACCCGCGATGGGCAAATCTCTAAATTTCTCCATCCACAGACCTCGAACCAGAGTTCTGGCGGGTGATATAGAAAGCCCACATCCTTGGCTTCTTGTATCACCAGCAGTTCTCAGTCAAAAGGGAAATCCCCACTACGGCCGTCAAGTGCACAGGGGATGGACCGGTGGAAGCTCTGAGCAGGTCGGCCGTCTGGGCGCTGTAACTCACCCGCACCGACAAACGGCGACGTGAAACCACCTCTAACACCACTGAGGTGTATGTACAGGCACGCGTCGTGCTTTTTCGATGGCATTGTTGGACTGTGTGGGCTACAGAGACGCGTTGTGGAGGGCTGCTCTGACCGGTGGTTGTGGGGGGGGGGCTGCGTAGGAGGTATCCCCGCTAAGATGGACGCCTGATTCTCTCTTTTCGCATCATGCTACCTAAAAAAAACTACACTTATGGACCAAAGAAGTCACACACAGCCAGCATCCACACGTTGCTCACACCAAACGATAGCTGAGCACCACAGCTACTCGTCCCTGCTTTCACTACTCCTAACGGTGGCCTACAGCGTTCGCGAGATCGATACCTTGTGCAAAAAAAAAACGCGGCGCAATCTAATCTCCTAACACTGTGTATGTTGTCTAAAGTACGTACAAACAGCTTAGTTTCTTACACTATGCATGCATAACACACAGGCTGACGTATTGTCATTGGGAAGCCGGTTAACGAGGTCGATGATAATAATAATAAAATAAATACACACGACACAACGGACCATCGCACTCCTTGTATCGCTGTGGTCCATAGCTTACAGCAGCACGTGCATGCAGTTTCGAAGTGGAGTCGAGACCACCGATAATGTCCCAGCGGTATGAAGCTTTGGAAGAGAGAGAGTACCTCGGGAAGACATCAATAGAGCATAGTCCAGCCAGTCTTATGTACTATAGAGCGCAATTCGCAGGCACCCTCAAGCTACGGCCCAACTGGAGCTTCGTCGTCTAGGCTAAAATAAGTTGTTGCGCGGAACGTGTGCCTTGCGTCGGCTATATATCTAAGTTCGACATCTCCGTCCTTTGCTGAACGAAACATATGGGGCATGCGATTCTACCACCACCAGCAAGTCCTTACCATAGGACCCTCCTTCGGTCCGTGGATGCCTCCCAACTTGTGCGGAATATGACTGCAGCACCACGTGCGGCAGGAGCATCTATCTTCTGTATACCCGGAAACCTGACTGAAGTGCGGGGGGATAAGTTGCGGAAAATGCGGGGCAATTGCTGACGGTTCACACATGATTCGCCTCCCAGATGAGTGACATGTTGAGTGACAGGCGACAGGCTACAGGCATACTGCTATGCGCTATGTGCTCAGGTGCTCATAGCCTCCTGGAACATGTTCTGTAGTGGTGTGAAGGCAAGCCCTTGGTACCTTTTGAGCTTCTTTTGATACTTTCCAACCACAGAGGATTACTGCGAGGCCGTACTGGAGAGTACACTGCGGAGGCACGGGTGGACGTGTAGACCATCCGCTCTTGGGGAGGAACGCGCGCCACCTCGGCAAAATGAGCCACGGGGGCGACGATACCACCTGGGAGTACGTTCGGCCATCATCTAGTTTCCAGAACGCAGGGCATTATGCGCCCCCATCAACTCCAAGGTGAATTGCATCGCTGGGTGATAGCCGAGGGGAAGAGGTTAACGAGACCTGGGAGTCTACAGTGGTTTGAGAGGTACAGCAGAGAGAAACCCATTTACCACCAGAAGAGCATGCTACTGGTATATTCATACTTTACAGAGTATGTGC